TCACTATCCAGGCTTTATCCTACTAATCTCTCGATTCAATAGTCTAAAACCCTGGATGCATGAACGAACGCTATCATAATCCCTAGGCAAATATTCATCTCTCGATGCAATACTTGTTCTATTTATTGAGTTATTTCCAGGTTAGAATCTCATATGTCTATGCGAATTAAAACCCTAAGTTCATTCAATCAAGTGGCCAACAAGATCAAACGCATTAAACGCAACTCAATAACCGAATAGAATAAATAAAACCACAAAGTCTGGAATTAGAAATCAAAGATCCCTACATAGCAAATCCCTAACCTATAGCAAGGGAACTACCCGCTAAACATCGAAACGACAGGGTTCATATCAATATCACAAAACATCATAAAATAGAAGAAAGGAAGAATGCTTAGTCGATTTTCCGGCTTCGTAATCTCCGTCTTCTACTCCGATCTCTTGCCTCTTGATAATCTCCCCCTTTTGGTGTGCTCTAGGTCTATTTTCTGTGTAAAGTCCAAATTGAATTTCGACCTAGAGGTTTTTGTTGGTTTAGTGCTCTATGATGTACTGATTATGAGCTTTGTTCAGATACATTCGATGTATTGATACTTTCTATATGTTTTTTTATGAGAGTATCTTGTTCATTACATGTTCCTGCATGCTAGATCTGTTATGAAATCCATGTATCATTATGAATGATACTAAACTCCCTAGTCTTGTGTCATTATGGGAATAACGACATAATAAGACTAGTATGATGTGTGATTGATGATCACATAGATGATCATAGGTATTGGATACGATCACAATCATAGGTATTCGTTGCAGAACGGAATACTGGACTGACCCGCATGAGATTGTCACATGGACTAGCGTCATGACTTGAATCTCATACGACGATTCCATGATTGGATCCTAAGACCTGAAATATCTACAGAATCCAACATGAGGAGTTGCGTGCTTTGATTACGTCAAACGTCCTGCGTAACAGGAGGACTATAAAGGCGTGTATCAGGTACGAAACGAATCATGTACTGGATTGTAGATAGTCAAGACGGGATTTGTACCTCTCGTAAAAGAGAGAGATATCGCTGGGCCCCTCGTGTGAGCAAGACTGTAGAAATGTGTGGCCGCACTATAGACGAACGTCATCTATTTCAGACAGTCGAACTCAGTGAACGAGAAAGCAGTCGAATCAGATAAGGTGGCTTGTCCATGCCTTATGTTCGACATATGATATCGCGATACAAAAGGATCATCAGTCGGAATCATCACTGGCTTTCGTATGATCACAAACAAACTCTATTCGAGATAGGTAGTCATAGTGTCTTGCTAGAGACCGCCTATGACTTGTATTACCGGAATGGAGATTCTGCGTTTTACTGCTATTCCGGATGAGCCTACAGGGTCACACACAATAGGGATGGACAAGTACATGTGCTAAATTATCCCGATTAGGAATCCTAATTGGATTGAGATTCCTAATTGGAATAGGAATCCTAATGGGATTAGGAATCCTATTATGTATAGGAATCCTAATGAGATTAGAATTCTATTACATCTAGGAAACCTAATGAGATTAGAATTCTAATAGGTTTAGAAAACCTAATTAGATTAGGATTCCTAGTAATCTATTCCTTGTCAAATTAGGATTTTGGAAAGTCTATATAAGGAGAATGTCTTCTAGGGTTTTAAGTGAAGAAGAAAAAAAAAGAAAAAAAAAAGGAGGAAGAAAAATAAAACCCTAAGCCTCCAAAAACCTTGCACACAAGAGAGATCGAGATCTCTAGTCCTAGCAGACAAGTTCCAAGGTGTTGGAATCCATCCCGACGTGTGGATACGTGTAGAGGGCGAGGTATTCTTCCTGCCTAGAGTGATCGGACGAACATATCAATTGATACAGGCCCCGGATCGATTGAGGTAAGCGTTCTAACGTTTCTATGATTCAATAGTAGCATGGTTCTAGGGTTTCATTAAAATTTTTGTTTTATATCCGCTGCGCAAACCCTAGAATCGATCTCTTAGGAATTAGATTCGCTCATGAGATCCCAGGAAACCCAACAGTTTTCCCCTCTTATTTCCCTTCGGTTTGGGCATAATTGGAAGTTTTCCCGAATCTGGGGGTCGAACCGATCGTTTCGGTAAACCCAAACCGATCGTTTTGCACTTTCGAAGCAATTTTCCAATTTCTGCGATTCCGAACCGATCGTTTCGTCCATCCCGAAACGATCGTTTCGTGTCTCTGAGCAGTTTCGACGGGCTTCACGAATTCGCTCATAACTTCTTGCTCCGATATCGGATTTGGGTGATCTTGGTGTCTATGCGTAGATATTGAGAAGAGCTTTCCAATGATATAGAGAATGCGTGTTTTGGACTTGTAGAGTGAATGTTATTGGACTTGCAAATTCTGACGTTTTCTGAGCTTCACGTTTTCCCTGGAAACACTCCAAATGTTTCCGTTTCATCCGTGATGTTCCGTAGCCCATGTTTTCCACTCCTTTTGCTCTTTTATACGTGAAAACCTGTTTAAACACCAAAGAACACAACCATGCAATGTCGAAGCCAAATGTGCCCTAGAATGCCTACAAATATGTAAAATAGAGTGAAATACGCTAGACATCCTATATCAAAACGTCACCCAAAATACGTGTTATCAGAAATCCTTAGTGAATCTCCGGTAGAAGCCTGCATGACCAAGAAAACTGCGGATGCTTTTGGCATACGTCTATAAGCAAATGTACCGTATGGGCAAGTAAACATAGTCTTTTCCTGATCAGAGGGATGTATAGGGATCTGAAAGAAACCTGAATACCCATCGAGGAAGCAGAAGTAGGAATGCAGAGTGAGTCGCTCGAGCATCTGATCGATAAATGGCAGTGGAAAATGATCCTTCCTTGAATTGGCGTTAAGCTTCCTGTAATCGATGCACATACGCCATCCGGTGACAGTCCTTGTCGGTATTAACTCGTTCCGATCGTTCTTGATGATTGTCATCCCACCCTTCTTTGGAACAACCTGCAAGGGCTGACCCAAGGGCTATCGGAGATAGGAAAGATAATACCTGCGTCTAGAAGTTTCATAACTTCTTTCTTGACGACCTCTTGAAGCTTCGGGTTGAGACGATGTTGATGTTCGATAGAAGTCTTTGTCTCATCTTCGAGGTGGATCCGATGCATGCACAAAGAGGGACTGATGCCCTTGATATCTCCGATCGAATAACCTATCACTTTCCTATACTTACGCAACATATCTAGCAATTTGCAGACTTGGGAAGAGTCCAGATCGGCGTTAACAATAACAGGATAAGTAGATTTGGATCCAAGAAATTCATACCGAAGTCCAGTGGGGAGAGGTTTGAGTTCAAGATCTGGTGCGGTGTCGGGATCCCATCCGGAAGTCGACGAAGAATCTGAATGGTTAATGAGTGCAAGAATAGATGGATCGTGTGAATTGATGCGCACGCACCAAGTCTTATATTTAATACCCGATTCGTACCACTATCCGCAAGTATACGGTAGTTGTAGTACCGGGGTCGAACACGAGGACTAGGATGTATTAGTCTATCTCTAAGCTAGATTAGGTGGTCAAGTAAAAATGTGGTTTGTAGTAGCTGTCGAAATACAAGAAAGCAAGTAAAATTAACGGTTTATAAAACGATGATTTAGGGCGTTGTAGGTTCGGGATCCCTCAAGAATCGCATGGATGGTTAATGATGCTACAATGTCTATGGGTTATCCTCCATATGGGGGTTTCAAGCACTTCTTCTAGAGTTTGTCTCTCCCAAGCTTAAACTCACTACCTAGAGGATCGATTCACCCATCTCCCAATGATCTAAATGATCTCTAGATGCATTAGTGTACCCTATCATGAACCCTAAGCAAGTTAAGCCATCTCCCAATGTGAATAACTCACTCATTTGACATTTGATTCCAAACATCATTCCCATATCCCTATGATCAATATGTTCTACAGTCATATCAATTAGGGTTTCAACCAAATCAATAGCATTAAGCACAAAACATCAAACCCATGGAAGAAACTCAAAGACATCATAGATTAAGCATAGGTATCCATACAAAAGTGGGGATCCCTCACCCACAACAAAGTCACTACTCCATAACTAGGGTTTCAAAACAGAAAGCAAAATGAAAAAACATGGAAAA